TGAAAATCCATTTAAAAAAATAAGTCATTGCAATGGTTGAAACAGGATCAAAGCAAATGTGAGCTTTTGTATCGTATTATCTTTTTTCCTTCCTGCTGAGGCCCTTACTAGTTTTTGCTACTTGTTCTTGCGTGTTATGATAATCATGAGGTAATGTTTTCTGGCATTGGATACTTGTAAAGGCTACACTTTGGCACAGCAGCAGAGGAACAGCTTGTATGCACACTAATGCCCAGTACAGTTAATTACTGTTGAGTAGGAAATGAAGAACTGAAACTTTCTAAGTATGGTGGATAGTTTCCCTGAAAGATGGAGCCAGAGTAGCCCAGATAGAATCTGGACCAGCTGAGGTGCTTCAGATTTAAAAAGGCAGGTGGACTCTGAACATATATGTCATCTGATTAGCTGCAGAAATGTTATGTTTCAACACCTAGTCTTTCCTCTTCTACAGAAAATGACAGAAATTATATAGAAGTCTTTTGGATCTGCTGCTTTTCTATCAGACTGGACAAAAATTCATTGAAGCTTAAAAAGGCTCTAGAAATAAAATATTGCACACAAAGGGACCTTCATGATCTTTCTGTGAATTGCCGAGACAGTCATATCTTCTTGCCTGTCCTTGAAACAAAGTCTGTGCCTCTTTTTCTGATTCAGACTTCATTAAAAAGCTCTTTAGTCTTGAAGAATATATACAATATTCTCCTTTGTAACAATAGTTATTTCCAGGGAATGTAATTCAAAGAGGTTTTTTCCCAACTCACAGATAAATTAATCTTAGTAATGCTTGACAGCAATTCCATTTTTCCAGTAAGAAGAGTCTTACTGTAGATTGAGACTAGAGAATTGCATTATTCATTTGAAAGATGTTTCTAGAATGTCTTTAGGCTTCTCTGGGTAGTGACAGTCTTACACAGAAATAAAATGGCCTTGCTTTGCTGTAGATTTATTAGTACCAGTATTTTTTGCAGCTTCTCTCCTTTCAGAATTCTTTGTTTTTCAGAGTCTTCTGTGTTAGAGAAACCGTATTTGTTTGGTGGGCTCTCAATGTGCTATTGAGAAAGTCAACTCAGAGAAAATAATCCTCAGAGAAGGATTAAGTGTTGTTTGCCCATTTATTACAACGAGTAAACTGAGTCAGAGAGAGTCTAATTTTCAAAAAAAGTCACATAGCAACTCAGTGTTGTAATTAAGTCTGATTCAGCAGCATGTCCTAATCAGTTTCCATGGTGCCTGAAGCCCAAGAAGCAAATCATTCAGCCATGTTCAGTACAGAAATGAGAGCTGAGTATAAGTCATGAGAAATTTCATGTGCCAATGAGAGAGACTGAAAAGGCTTTGCTCTCATTTTAACAATTATCTTTATTAAATTTTGATGACAACATTCAAAATAATCTGACTAGAGTAGAAGTGATGGGACTGTCTTGCATGGTGCTCAACTATGACAAAAAGCTTTGAAAAAACAGATGCTGTGGTTTCTGCTTTGCTTCTTTCTGTGCTTTGCTGCAAAGCATTTAATATTTTAGTGATAGGGGGATGAAGAGCTCACATGAAACAGAAGTAACTGATCTTCATGAAATATCTATAAAATAGTTATGTCTTCAGGGAGACAGGAAAATATTTGTGATCTTAGAAATATAAAAAATGGCATCATCCAGCTTCACTAGGATAACGTGATAAATGCACAGGGTTCCCAGCACAGATGGACAAAACCCAGGCAGTGTTGCAGAAGGGTGGCAGTGGATCAGTGCTAATGCTGCATGGCTCGCATCCCTCAAGGGCTGCAGACTGCATGGTGCCAAAATAAACCCTGCATGAGCTTCCCTCAGCTCTTTGTCAAGTCTTCCCTGAGATATTTGAGGGCTGAGGATTTCACATGGAGAAGGACAGGCTGTTTGGCAAATGTAGGATGGATAAAGCAGAAACCCTGTCTGCCAGGTCTTGGGTGAGGTCTTTGCATGTGGCCTGTATTGCTGTGTTGGGGCAATAAACTCAGAGAGGCAGGGGGCTGGCCAGGTCTTTCTGTTGTTCTTTGGAAATGTTTCACTTGTGATTCAACCATGGCGAAGTATGTCCCCATTTTCTTGTATTTGCACAAATTTTAAAATGCAAAACTGCTTCTTTTCTTTCTGAGAGAGTTCTGGGGACAGAGCCTCAAGGAATACAGCTTTGTCCCCTGCTCCTGTAACAAAGCTCCTCTGTGGTGTTGGATGAAAATATAATTACTGTGTGTCTCAGTTCTTGTCACAGAATGATGGCAGGATGTCCTACCTAACAAAACACTGAAGATTTCAGTAGTATTTGGAGAACTGAAGTATATGACATGTGAATGGGAGAGCCTAGCACCAGAGTGGACAGTCAGATCAAATAAACTCTGTAGAAAAGTTCACATTTATAAAATGCCTTGGCTAGGTTTGATTGAGGCTGCACCAATTTCAAGATAAACACTCCTGAGACAAATTGCTATGATTATTTATGTGGTACGTGAACCAGGAATGGAGCTTGAGCTGCCACAGAACCAGCACAGTCCTTGTCCTACTGGCCTGTCACCTCCAGGCTGGGCACATTGATGGAGAAGAGCATACCAGTCAAGCTGAGTGTGAACTTCTGATCAGTGTAGGATGTAAAAGAGAGGTGAGAAATTACGAACAAGGGTTAAAAGATGTGAACAGCCTCATTGTTCTTTGCTCAAGAGGTTTCCCAAACAGATCTACAGCCATACAGCATAGCAACTGATCAAATCCAGCTCGGTGCAGTTTTCCTGAGAAATATGTTTTCTTGGAGTGATAAAATCACATAGTCTTGATTCAGGGAGCAGCTGAGTTCTTCTGGGAAGGGAAAGAAAAAAAAAAAAAAAAAAAAAAGAGTAGGGAATTTATTCCTTGTTGAGAGCCAAATGAGAATTTCAGATAATTGCCATCAGAAATGCCATAATGGGGCTGTAGGGCATTTACTGCAGTGTTCTGTCTCTCATGGAAGCACCAGCAAATCTTTCCTGTTTGCAGACACTACACAAACCTGGCCACCACTCCTCTCCAGTTTTCCCAGTGCCCACCATCATCTAACTAGGAATGTTGATGTCTAATTATTGCTCTTCATATCTGGTTTGGATCTGTGGTACATTAATTAGTCTACTGGCTTCTATACTATCTGATTTGACAACCTCCTGTGGCAAAATCATCCCTGAAGCTCATACTTTGGAAGAAGTATTTTCTTTTAGATGTATTAACCTCATCCTCTAACAATCAGTAAGTGTCCCTCTACTGCTGAGGGATTTACTGTGGGACAAATTCTGCATTCATCACCTCCATGATTTTTTGAACCTCAATCCCATCAATCCCAGCAATTTTCTCTTCTCCAGACTAAAAAGTCCTAGTCTTTATAGCATCTTCTAAAATCCATCTCCTTGTTCATTTTGGTAGTGTTTTCCTATGCCTTTTCTTACCCCACTGCATTCATCCCAAGGCAAGCAAATAATTGTCAGCTATCAGCCAAGTATAGTGTTGGGCTTCTCAAAGCCCATTCTTAACTCTAATGTAATATTGCATCTTAAGTGAGAGCAGCCCAGTGGCACACTAGGTGGGAAAAAAACAGCTGATGCTCACGTGTGGTCTATGGCTGCAGCATTAAGATGCTTCATTTTGACAGCACACCCATCATATAAAATGAGACTGTAGGAACTATCCGAGTGTCCCCCACTCCAGTACATCACACCAGGTATGTAAAGTCTGGAAAGGATTGGAAGCTGTTTCAAATTCAGTGGAGAAAGGAATCACTTCTGATGAGTGTTGTCAGCAAGGAAAGTTGGCAGGAGGGAAGTGTCCAATACTAATACACGAAAGTTAGAGCTTTTATGAACCAAGGTCATTGTCTGCATCTGCCCTCTTTGTTTAGAAACTTACAAATAGATACAACATTGTTTTTTCTTGAAGTATGAAGTAAATAATGGTTTTAAATGAAGGAAAAAGAAAAAAAAACCAAACAACAAACAAACAAAAAAACTAAGAACCCTTACTGAATTAATTTATCTCTGAGATATTTTTCTCATCTTGATTGCAGTCATGTATTAGCTTTCCAGTAGATGAGCTGGCAGAGAGCCACTGCGACAGGGATCTTTGGTAGGAAGAGTAGAGAGATCACTTCAACTTCTTGTGATTGCACAGATCCCTTGAGTTTTGAGGCTTTCAGGTGTCTATTCCATCCTACTGTGTGAGTAACTGAAAGGAAAGACCAAACTCCCTAATTCATTTACCAATTTTACAAATAGCTTGTTCTAATCAGCTGAATAGAATGATCAGATAAATATGTGTCTGTCTTGAAGAGCCAATAAAAAGTCAGTTGACAACAGTGGAGGTTGTTCAAGCTGCTGAAGTTCAGTTGGAACTGATGTATATTTTAGGGCAATCTTTTAAAGGGGTAGTGGTTCAATGATGATATCTCAAACAGGATTCAGTGTGTTCTATGCAGAAATTCAAATAGTTCCCATGATAAAAATGAATGTTCCCCTGTAGGTTTTGACATCACGGGGCAATGAGCAGGGTGAGCTGTGACTGCGTGTGCCCGAGCACTCGGGCAGCAAGGCTGAAGTAGCACTGGCTCCATGTGGCCCAGTGCTGACTGCAAGGGGCCTTCTGCTTGCCTTTGGTCATGGTTAATTCTTTTTGTTGTAACTAACATTGCAGATTAAAGTGCGTTAGAGTAATGATGAAACCAGCTTTTTCCTTTAAGCAGCCAGACAAAAGAGTCAACTAAAATCTTGAAACTGAAAGGATACCAAGACAGCCACCAGTCCCATTGACTAAAACACTTGCCCTGCCCACATTTTCACTGAAGTGATGAATGCATCTGGCCATCAGTAAAGAATATTAGCTGATGTGATGGGTCTGAAGACCACAGATCTCCTGTAGATGGTGTCACATGTGGGGTGAGGGAGGTAGCAAGAGTGATTGATTCAGGTGACATTACTCTGACTAACTGTGCTTCTTTTGAATTTTCCCAAATAGGGTCGAGACTGCAGTGTGCCCATTAATTCTTGCATCCAAAACCCATGTCAGAATGGAGGGACCTGCCACCTCACCGAGGCAAACAAAGATGGATTCAGGTAGTAAAACAAAGTTCATTTAAAATGAAATTATAAAATTAAATGTGTTTCTATTTTGCATTAATGAACTACAATGGCTACTTTATAAAATCTGCTGTGACACTTCTATTTGCCACACAAAATAATTAATCTGGTTCCAGTGGTCTGATGTATTGTTTTTTCTGAAACAGGCCTCCTTATTTTCTCATAATGGAGAGCTATAGGAATATTTTCACCATGGGGGCAATAAGGTTACTTAGGGAGGCTGTGAATGCCAGTGTTCAAGGCCAGGTTGGATGAGGCTTGTGCAGCCTGATCTAGTGGGAGGTCCCTGCTCATAGCAGGGAGGTTGGGACTTGATGATCTTTAAGGTCTCTTCCAACCTTTACCATTCCATGATTTAGAGCAGTCTCTCTGACCTGCATTATCTGTATGCTATTTTTCCTCAGGGCATTTCCAACCCTCATATACCCCCTTTTTGTATTTGTAAAGTAAGTATGTGTTGCTTGACAACCAGATGAAAAATGTTTTCATACTGAAGAATCTTGTAGACAAAGAGACTTTAAAGAAACAATTAAAAAACATGGAGAGATTGCTACATCTGGAGCATTGTGCCTGCAAGAGAAAAACCGTTACAGCTGGACATCAGGAATTTCAGTTTTCCCATATGAGAAAGATGTAGAATAAATGGGAATAATCCAAGAGAAGCTCAGAAATTTTTATGAGGTAACTGGGAGATTTGTACTGCTACAGGCACTACTTTACAGCTAAGAAAACACAAGGTTGAGGCTTTGGCCACTAGTTGTCATTAGAGAGAAGATTTGCTGAAATTTCCATAGATTTGGTCCTCAGTATTTATGCTGAAAATATGTTCAAAAGTACACCATGCTGTCATTTCAGCTGCACATATGACAGTGTCACTTCTAAATGCTTTTATACATCTGAGGCTGCTGCTTTGTCTTCTTCTGTAGATAGGATTTTGGATGCACTGGGGGGCTAGCAACCCCTCTTGCTCCTCTACCAATGGTAAGATGTCTTTGATATTTCCAGAAAAGCATTATGGCTTCTTTTTGACTCCCCAAATCCCTCATGTGGCAGTGAGGCACAGTAGAGCTTCCATTTTGCCTTGTGGGAGGGATGAATGGGGAAACAGAAAACAGAAGAAACACCTCAAAGCTTCTCTCTGTCTCCGTGCCTCCCCAGCCGCAAGAATTCCCCCGCTACAGAAACTGATCCAGCACGTGCTGGACACGGAAGGACACTGATGATGTTACAGTGGAAAAGTGCAGGTTGAGGGGGATGAAGGGACACCATCAGGCTCTGATACAAATAACAGCATGAGGCTCTCCAGCACGGGAGACCAGGAATAAAACACATGGCCATGACTCCAAGAAGGGCAGTTTAGAGCTCAGCACCTGTGACAAGGCCCTGAGCAGAGCAGAAGAACACAGCTCCCTCTGAGCAGAGATGAGCCTGTAGGGTCAGGAACTGGAGCATGGTGGTGGGAGAGGATGAAGAGGCTCTGCAGATCACAGCACGTGCAAGTAGTCATGCTGCTTGACAGAGCCTCTAGATCTTGATGAAACCATTACTCTGATCTGATACATCTCTCCTTGATTCAGATTCTAGCAGGCCCAGCAACAAGTAAAAGTTCAGGCTCAGTTTCTTCTGGAGAGAAATAAAGATCTGGTGGTCTTCAGTTCGGGTTCCTTTCTGGTCACCTTGATGTAATACTGTTTAGATAACTTTTTCCAGCTTGTGCCAAAGCAAAATTGTACTGTATTAAAGTGTCTGTTTTCTGTCACTCAGTACTCATTTTTCAAAAATCTAGCTGACACTTAAAATGTGCTAGTAAAACATTTCATAATACCCATAATTCTAGGATGAAAGGCTTCAGCTTATATTTTAGGTCAGGCTTTTCTTTAGCATTTTTGGTTTGTTCTATGGTAGAAAAGAAAAAGTTTTGAATGACCTGAAATGAAAGCTTCTTCTGAATTTTTCTCATGAAGAGTTTTACAATTTCAGAGTCTTTGCGTCAGTTCCAAATGAACGTTGGTTTTGAGCTGTTTTATAAAACTGCAGGGGTGGTTCTGTTACTTAACATTTGAGGCTTTTTAGAGAAGGTTTCTGCTTTTATAGTTATTTATATAGGTTCAGTTGGTCTAATAAAAGACACATAAAACTATATCTCGTCAAAATCTTGCTCCATAAAATTGAATGTTCTATTGCTCTATTGAATTGCTCTGTTTTCTCTTCGTGTTTTTAATTCAGTTAGTCCACAACCCCAGCTGATCTGGAGGAGTGTGGAGATTTAGCATGTCATGGAGAAATGTGGTGTGGGGATGGAACAGTCAGGGATGAGGAACATAAAAACACATTTTGAGATTGAATTTGGTTGATGGGTTTCAGTTTTTTGGTGGGAGAACTCCTCCAGTGGATGGCAGCAGTCAGAGTTACGTGCATATAAATTGTATTAATCATGATGGGAAAACGTTGCCTCAGATTATATGCTGTGAGGAAGTGGATGTCAAAATCATATTCATGAGAGGACTCCTTGGATTTTATTGTTGTGTGGCCTGTAAAAGAAATTATATCTTCTGTATATTCTCTTCCCTAGGGAAATATATTCATACACAAGCTCTGCTGCCAAACTTGTCAAATCTTTACTCTTGTAAAAAGGAAACTTAAGCCAAAGCTCTCTCCCTGTGAAATGCCAAGCAGTTTAACTCTCAAGTTTCTGTAGCCTTAGACAAGAAAATTACCTTTTAAATAATACTATGGGGGTGATGTTCCCCAGGCAAGACAGGAAATCCATAGTTAGGGCTGACATTCCAGCCTGATGCACCCACTGTTCTTTGTACCCACTAGGGCTCACAGCAGCAGGGGGGACTGGGACTCAGATTTGTTGCAATAGCAGGTCCTGGTGGGGCAGCTGAAGGGCAGAGGTTTAGCTGTAGCTCTTCTGTCCTCCTTGACATCTTTTATTCTTGCACTTTTTAAATTCTGGGTCATTTTCACACTCTTTTTCTCAGGTAAGGAAAACTTCTGTGTTAAAGAATAGTTAAAGTGAAATTGCTTCGTTCAGAGTATTAGAATATGAAGTTCTTCCTCCCTTTGAATTGCTCATGCTAATCTAATTTAATCTACTTTGTCTTTGGCAAAAGGTTGCCAAAATAAGGTGTTTCTTGAGACTGCTACAAAAATATGCTCAATCAGATATGTCCTGGTCATTTAGCAGGCCTGTAATTGAGACTTTGACAAAGGAGGCAGAGCTGCCAGCTCAGTTAGCCACAGGGAACCAGCCGATCTTTGATAACATACGGTGTTGGGAAACAAAGTCTCTGGATTATTTAACTTTTCCCCATATAAAACCACCTCCATTTTCCAAAGCTTTTTCTTTAGCATTTTCCACAAACTCTAAGTTCCCTCATAAATGTCAAATCCTGGAACTGATTAAGTCCCTGGTGTTAATTCTGCCTACTTAAAGCAAAAACATTGCATGTCCAGACTTACAGGCTACTCTGTTGGGATGTAGATGTAAAAAGCTGCTTAATGAAGAAACTGTAATATTCCTGAAAGAATTTACTATCTCTGTTTAAAAGTTGATTTTTTGAAACATGATACACTGTATGTACGCCTATTTTAATAAACAGATGCTAAAGCATTTCATTAGAGTTTATGGGGGGAAAAAAATACTGAATTTTGAACATAGTAAACTCACAAACTGTCAGTATGCTGAAGCTCCAAAAGTTTACACCCAAATATTGTCATTAAGTTTTGTGTTCCCTTGCACCTTAATGAGAAAAAATAGGTTTTATTTAGTTCTTCATTTCTAGAAAAACACAATGCTAGCAGAAAATCCCTACACTGGAGGAACAGGGAAGATGGACCTTTACATGATCACAGCATCTTAGAAAATAGTTTTCTTGCGTGACCCCATTGTTTCTGAGGCCCAAATGAAATGCTGTCTCACACTGCTTCACTATTTAGTCAGTAACAAGTTTTCATCATTGTCTCTGGAATTAATTTTCTCTCTCGGTCAGCTGGAACCCAAGTTTGATGACCTTCCAGTCACTCCGCAAACTTCATTTTTCTTATAAGTTTTTTTTCTGGGAAAATACATACACACAGTCCCAAACTGCAGCTCTTTCAACATACACTTCAATAGGGGTCCCAAATTGTATGTTTTATCTTTTAATTTCAGTCCTCATGTTTGGTGCATTTGAATGCAACTCAAAATAAAGAATCATACGTAAGCAATACTGTAAAGACTCGCTAGGATACACAGGGACCAGTAGCCAACTGTCATCAATTATGCTGACATTTCCCTCAGTATGGAATGCGTCCTAATACTGAGCAATTGTATGTTAACAATCCCATATGTATTGTTACTCATGGTAACTCTACTGAGTTGAACCATTACTGTGATAGCATTTAATAATGTCATTTTTAATTGCGAGCTGTCTCAATCCTTTTGTGGAAGGAAAATGGTGTTATATTCACATAAAAATAACCAGCACAAAGCCACTCTTGTTGCTTTTCTTTAAATGGAGAGAAAAAGTTGTGCTCCCAAACTGAGACCTTGGATGCCAAGTTGCAGCCTGAAGCACATTTTTATGGCTGAGTTTTAAACCCCTGAAAATAGGGTTTTGTAATTGAAATGGGAGAGATGATGAATGTGCCACTGTATTTAATTTGATGTCTTTAACCCCCTCCCTGACACTTGCATTGCCACAAAAGATGGTGTGCCAAATCTTCCCTCTTATCTGCCTCCTGTGATCCTCTGGATCATTGCAGGGTCAGCAAGAGGACATATTTTATTAGCAATAAGGAGCTTGAGACAGGAAAAGAAAATATTTCTTATTGATTTATTGTGTCCTAAATTGGATTCATTTGAGCAGTTTGGTTTTGGTTATTCATGGTGAAGGTTTTCCATCTCCCATGACCTGTGAATGGTCCTGGGGGGACTTAATGAAGATGCCTGTGACCTAGATCCCTGCTCTGTACCCATCTAGAAGATCTTACAGTTGTGGTGTCTTACAGTTGTGGAGACAGATTCCCTATCCTTTTATCTTCACCTTTGTTATTCCTTTAGTTTCTGAGATTGCCCATTTCATGAAGAATCTAACCTTGTCCTCAGGGTCCAACCTGGGACCTACTGAAGGTGGACGCAGAGCTCTGTGCCATCCCTCCCTTGGGAGCCCCCACTGTGGCACACAGGAGGAAGAGAAGCAAATGTCATGCTGAGAGCAACCAGCCCAAAAGCGCTGCAGTTTCCTCCACATATTCTGAAGATCTCCTATTTCTCTGAGGCACTCCCCACCTCAACCCCATGACACCTACACAAAACAGGATAATCACCCCATGCCCACTTTGTCCATCTGAACTGGAAAAAAAAAAGAAAAAAGCACCCTACTGCAATCCCTGCATTGGAAATTCTGGTTTCAGAAAGCAGCGGAAGGCAATTAGTGTGACTGCTCTGGTGCTTTCTGCTTTTCATCCTCATCAATCAGTAGTGCTTTACATTTGTTTGGTTCCTTTTCTGCCACCAGAAATTCCATGGGAAAAGAGAGGAACAGCTGAGTGAATGTGTAGTTTAGACTGGGACTTGAAGCAACCCTTCCCTGTAACTAGTCAACAGCAATACTGACACTTCAGATACCATGACTGGCTTCTTAGAAGGCACTGAAATGACTGGAGCACTTAACACATGTTCTTAGACTCTCTTTTGGAAACTGTGACCTTCACCTCTTCATCACTTACAGCTAGTTTAGAATATAAAAGTTCTCTTAGCAACCATAACTTGTAGATCTAAAGAGGAAATGGAGATTGAAAAAAAGTTTAAGTCATTCCTCAGCCACTTAGTTTCTTCCACTCACTTTAGGGAACATACATTACAGTCTTGTGAGATAAAATATTTAGTGCAATTATCCTTCAGTAGTGTTCACATCCTTACAGAAACATTCCTAGCACTGCTATTGTTTGTGTTTTAGTTGAACTACCTAGACATCATCAGCTCTCCTACAATGAGACATTGCCCTGTGATTGTGCAGTGCTCAGCAGGCAAGTATCTACACACAAAATAATTAATAGAGAAGCCAAGGATTTGAGTATTGTGATAAGTGTTCTCTCTCCTGCCCTAGAGTTGCTTACTTCAATTCAGGGCTAGGATTATCAACAAAGAAAACAAGGGAAGTGTAACAGAAGCTGACTCCTGCTGATGCTTTTGTGTCTGTTGTAAATAATTACATGACCTCATGAACCATCAGGCTGAATCCTTCATCAAACACACAGGGTTAAAGTGCTCTGCACTTCACAGCAGCAGTGAATTAGGCTCCCACAACTCACTTTTCTGTTTTAATTTCAGTTTTATACCTCAAGCCTCCTGTCCCTTCAGATCCATACTAGCTTTTCTTAATTTGTTTCTTTCTCCAAAGCTGTTCCTGTGTCCTTGGATATGAAGGGGAGAGGTGTGAAATAAACCCAGATGACTGTGAAGATAATGACTGCGAGAATAACTCTACATGTGTGGATGGCATCAACAACTATGTCTGCCTCTGCCCTCCTAATTATACAGGTAAGAGTCACAACCAAAGAAGAAGAGGAATCCATGAGGGGTCCCTTCAATGCCTGAAGGGAAGCATCCAAATGCACATTTCCTTTATCTGTTAGTGTATGATTAACCAAAGATCTACACCCATTTTAAAGCAACCTGGATGTCTTGCTGTAAAAGTGTTAGTTCTACCAATATTGCAGTACAAGTGTTCACGTACATGTCCCCTTTTCTGAGCCAAAGTTCTGATGGTTCATTGAAAAATGCACTAAAAAATACTAAAGTTTAAAGCATCAGAGAAATTTGTACTTCTGCATGCACATTCTCTAAACGTATTTCAGAAATATTTGTAGTACTGAGTTGAGTCCCATATACATCTATTTTGACTCTTGGGAAAAAAAAAAAATAGTTCCTGTTTAAATTGTATAGGAAAATTGATTTTGGGGCATAGCTTTCACCTGAGAAGGTTTTGGGGCATAGCTTTCAGCTGAGATCTCAGAGGTCAGCAATTATGAAATAACACGAGGCTGACGATGTGCTGTTTCAATTCATTATCTCCATTTCACAAGTGGAGAGGCAAAGGCTGTGTCAGAAGCTGTAGGCTCAGTTGTAGTGTTCAGTGTGTACTGGTGGCAGCCAGCCCAGCTCAGCAGGCCTGCAGTCACCTGCTAAGTCCATGGTGACAAAGGTTGGTAACTGAGTTAGAAATGGAATAAGGATCTCCAGCATCCATCCTGCATTTCAGAGTAGGAAAATTGATTTTGGGGCATAGCTTTCACCTGAGAAGGTTTTGGGGCATAGCTTTCAGCTGAGATCTCAGAGGTCAGCAATTATGAAATAACACGAGGCTGACGATGTGCTGTTTCAATTCATTATCTCCATTTCACAAGTGGAGAGGCAAAGGCTGTGTCAGAAGCTGTAGGCTCAGTTGTAGTGTTCAGTGTGTACTGGTGGCAGCCAGCCCAGCTCAGCAGGCCTGCAGTCACCTGCTAAGTCCATGGTGACAAAGGTTGGTAACTGAGTTAGAAATGGAATAAGGATCTCCAGCATCCATCCTGCATTTCAGATAAATTTCTTCCTAAATCTTCTGCAAATGCAGAAACCTTCCTAACTGGAGTCTAAAAATGCTTTTTCACAAGTCATTACTGGAGCACACACACCACTGATTCATTCAAATAGCGTTAGCAGGACCTTCCTGGCTCAGCGTGGTGCCATAAGGAAACACCTGCAATAGTTCCTACTTCCATCCTTTGAAATGGGTTTATTACCTTCTAAGCATGGAGAAGTAATGAAGGGCATCTTGTACACTGGAATATATTACATGTCAGAGGATTTAATGAGGATCAAACTTGAGTGGCTGAGTAAGGCAGGAGGAAAGCTTCTAGAATTTCCAAACTCTTAAAATACATTTGTGGCTGATACAGAGGAGGCCCATGTAAATCTTTAGCTGAGAAAAGTCTTACGACTTGAATATGTATTTATTGGAGGCCTAAAACGATCTTTCTGCCAAAAACTCAAAAACTTCAGCTTAGCAGAGTAAGGAGTTTTGCTTATAGGATGTTGAGCCCATTGTGCTTACTTGTGCACTATTTATGTGAGCTATTCTTGAGTGGTTCCCAACAAAACTATAGTAGGAGGCAGAGTCTTTACATTTACAAGAGGAAATCTATTTTCCCAGCCAAGAAAAGACATATCCAGTAAGGAACTGAATCCAGTATATATGCAAATGTGCTTTCCTTTTCACAGGCACATTGCAGATTATTTTTTTTTTTCCAGACAAAAAAGGTAAGAAATAACTAGACTAGGATTTTTTCTCAAATGGCAATCTGGAGAAGGGCCAGAGAACTCACATGATACTTCAGAATCAGTTTAGATATGTTTGTAATCAACTTCCAGCTTCTCTTTTTTTTTTTTAACCTGAACATTGTCTTTGCTGATGCCTATTAGTAGGAATTTGTCAAATACTAGACCCCAGTCCTGCAGTGTGGGGGACACACATTTTTGTATCTACCACATGATCCGCACTTGCTATCACAGGGCAGGCAATAGCTTTGCCTACAGTTGAAACAGAATTGTATTTTTTTAAGATGAGCAGGAAATACTTCTGGAAAATATGAATCATAAGTGAAAAAGTTTGTAAAAATGTAGGCGTGGCTTAAATTAGAAAACTGAAAGGTTACAATAGTTCATGCTGCTTGCTGCGTAAAAATTGGAAGAGTGTAGTGAAATGTTACAAAAGAATTGCCTTAACCTGCTTTACCTTGAATTTTGGAGGGGATATTTCATCAAATCTGATGAGTCACTTGGAAGGACCCAGTTCAGTGCAGCTGGCTGGGCTGAAATGTCCCTCAGAGGTACACCTAGCCCTCTCAGAACAGAAAGGCAGGGAACAGCATAACAGGGCAGGAAGAACTGAAGTCATCAGCCAAAGAAAGGTCACATACAAGCAAAGCATATCTGAGCCGTGGTTTTGTAAGAGCTGAATGCAAGCACAAGAAATTGGAGTTTGAGGTCTCCAATGACATCCAGGGTATCTGTCTGTATATTCTCTTAAAAGAAATTTTTTTATACTGAAGCAATACCTGAAGCTACTATGGCAGTATCAAAAAAAAAAAAAAAAAAAAAAAAAAGTAGGTACAGATTACTTTAATATTGTGTTGAATATGCTAAGAACTGTGGGTGCTAACTTCTGAGAGGAGTCACTGCCTCACAGGCATTGGGATCCATAGGCAGGTTGTGTGTCTAGCAAAACAGAAAATGTAGGTAATATCTCTTTTTGTTCTGCCCAAATATTATATTTAGTTCTGTTGCTCAGAACTGAAGGCGCAAGCTGTTGGTTATAGATACCCAGCTCAGCTACTGCAGATTCTTTTTCTCAGCTGTAGAAACAGGCAGGCTCTTGCAGTACTGCCAAGGAGGTAGTCGGGGTCCCTCATCACTCATGTGCTCTTGGATGGCATCATACTGGTAGAGACTGCAGTGATGTTATACACTGCATGCATGACTTAAATGTATGTTGTAACACAAAAATAGTCTGGACGCAGGGAGGAAGAAGGTTCAAGAGTGTGTATGTGTCTTGTTCTGTAAGGAATACTTAGGATCCCCCTTGATTTGTTGACTAACGGTTAAATCATTATAGTAAATCTTATGGTCCTAAGTGAAACAGAAATTAAAAATGGATATGTTGGAAATGTTGGCTATTGACAGAGTTGCAGTATCCAGGGTTTGGTTTTTTCCATACCTCAGTATTTTCCTGCTTTATCTACTGTCTGCCTAGTTTCACTCAGTACAGCCTTTTTAGGAAAAAATATCTCAAATAATGATCCATAAATTTTGCTTTCATTGGTTGAATTAAGGAAGGCCAAAGATCTTTCTTCAATTAGAGACTTTTTGCAGTGTTTTTTTTTCTTTATTTCTTTGACAGTCTTTTCCCCCACTCAAAGTAGATGAGAAATGGCCAATTTGCTAAGTGACTGCAGGGGGAAAGAATTTCCCACACTTCAGTCCCGTTTCACTTTTGTTAAAAAAAAAACAACAACACACTGAAAACCAACCCACACTCACACAGGAACTGCCTTCCTGTGTCCTTTCCATCTAATAACTTTTAAACCATGTGGAAATACAAATGGATTTTATGAAATAGGTAAACATAAGTTAAAGTAGACAGAGGGAGGGTGGGCATGTAGCTGATGGCCAGAAACAAGTTCCAAGTCCTTACCTACACCACCAGGTTTCTTCACCATTCTTCATGTCAATATTTTTTATGTTTGCTGGCTATATTTACATAACCAAACCAATATTCATGTCGTGTATCAGTCCTGGTGGCTTTTATTGCCAGCTGATGTCTTATTTTTCTCTCCCCAACTGTTGTTGTTTGTTTTGTGTTTATTGTTTTATCCTGAAGATACATTATAAACATGGACTTGCTCCAGGATAATTGTGTACCCGAAGTAAAGCCAGCTCTAAAGCTTGAGCAGTCTGTGGACTGCCTGGCAACCTGGTCAGACCCCTTGATGGATTACAGATTCTCCTCACAGCTCTGTAGGCTTTCCTGCTCTTCAAAAAGAAACATGTATAGGAACATTGAAAGAGGAAGCTGCATGAATTAGCTCGCTCACCCCCATTCTTTTCCTTATTGTATTTTTCTAGTTTTTATCTTCTAGGCTTTGACATGGTCTGTCTCCAGCTATCAATATATACCTCCCACTGTCTCCCTAGCTTTGTGGTTTAGAGGTGCAGGACAAATTACACTTTTCCCCTTCCATTCCTTTTTTTTATTCACTGCTCTTGAAAGCCATCACTGTTGTACTTAGAGTTCTAGTTTCAAATATGGAATTTCATGCTTCCAAAAAGATCCTTTCCTTGGTCTCACTGTCCTTTGTGCTCTCACTTAAGGGGTGTCCAAACATACATAAAGGACCAAATGGGCTGTGCCAAATGCATACTATGTACTTTGAGTGTTTTTATTCTTTACTTGCTTGCTTATTTTGTTTGTTTGCTGTGACTTTTCCTTCCTCCTGTCTTTTTAATTGTAGCCAGGAGTAAAAATATGTAGCACTTACATAAACGCACACAAAAATCAGGAAATATTTCCACTTTTGCTGAGATTCCTAAAAAGCCTCAGCAGATAGCAACACCTCTTTGTTCTAAAACCTGAAAGAATAACTTAGTGGCTTCTACTGCTGAAAATAGGTCTTTTCTAAAATACATCGCATCCCATGGCAGGGAGAGAGAAGAACAAGTGCTTTAAAATAGTTTGTTTCCCTGGGAAAAAGCTGCAAGCAGTTTGTCTCACAGAAAAATAGTCTCTCCCAAAAAAAGAAAAAAGCCTCTCCCAAAAAAGAAAAGAACTAGAAACTATTTCTGGGTTTATGTGTTTGGAAGAGAAGCCTAGGATCTATTTTACCTTAGGGGACCTTGTGGTGTCCTGCAGTAGATGGTATCTGAGAGGTTTGCAGTTATGCTACTTTTAGACAGAACTCTATTCCCTGTTAGTGATTATGGTCCCTTTTTCTGGTGTGTCT